GCTCCAGGTTCTGAGCTGTCAGCACACAGCCCAATGCGGGGCTCGAACGCACAAACCGTGAGATCATGACCAGAGCCGAAGTCAGACGCTTAACTGACTAAGCCACCCAGGCACCTCTCGTCCACTCTCTTATGTTAACTCCGCTTCTATTCTGCTTTCTACCCTTTGGCAAAGGTCTCACCCAAAGATTAAATGAGATAGATTAAGATACATTATGATATTCAATCTATTATTAATTATTATTACTTAAGCTATGCACTGTTTGAAATTTCCTCCTAGGGGCTCCCAGTGTTTACCGCTTTCCTGCTGATTCACAGCAGCCATACCTACCTTCTCCAAATCGCCTTTTATTACCAGGCCATTCTCTGGCTGGAAAGCATCATTCTTCAAAATACCCCTAACTTCTGATATAATTGATTTCAGATCAATAGCACAGGGAAAAACAGCAGGATGACCGTCCCCACTTACGATGGTCTGATTTATGACTTTTCAACTTCACGATGGTTCAAGAGTGACCCACGTTCAGTAGAAATCATACCTGAGAATTGTGAATTGTGATCTTTTCCTAGGCTAGAGACATGCGGGACGGTGCTCTTGTGGTGCGAGCCAGCACGAGCTCCCAGTCAGCTAGGCGACCACGAGGGTCAACAACCGATAGACTTAGAGCCCTTCAGTACCCAGACGGCCATTCCGTTCGTCGCTTTCAGTATGGTAGTCAATCAATTACAGGGGCAAGTTGACAACATTATAAGTAGGTTTCGTGTTAAATAATTCTGCCCAACTGTGGGCTCCTGTAAGTGTTCTGAGTATGCTTAAGGTAGATGAGGCTAGGCTATGATGTGTAAGTGAGGTGTATTAGTCGCATTTTCTGCACAATGTTTTCAAATTAGGATGAGTGTGTTGAGATGTAACCCCATCGTAAATCGGAGAAGATGTGTATTCAGTTACAGTAATTTATACTACAGTGTGGCCATCTATATAAGGGTAATCTATATGAGGAAAATATATCCTTTAAAGTAGTGTCACAATCCAACTGGAACTCAGATTAAAAAGCAGGTGGGTGCTGGGGCGCCTGGGGGTCTCAGTCGGTTGAGCGTCCGACTTCGGCTCAGGTCATGATCTCACGTCTCGTGGGTTCGAGCCCCGCATCAGGCTCTATGCTGACAGCTCAGAAACTAAAGCCTGCTTCAGATTCTGTGTCTCGCTCTCTCTCTGCTCCTCCCCCATTCACGATCCCTCTCTCTCTCAAAAAATGAATAAACATTAAAAAAAAAGAGGAGGCATTTTGGAGTAGAGTAAGGGCAGAGAGTATTTGGAAGTGTGGGCAGGAGAAGCCAGCCTACTGTCCCTGCCAGGTCAGCTCTTGTGGCCAAAGAAATGATCTCAGCCTGGATTCTTCACTCTTTTGTTGAAAGTTTGGACCTTTTGCTGAAAGACACAGGACATCTTTCCAAAACGAACTTTAGGAAGTCCCTGCCCCAATTTATTTTCTCTTCCTTTTGCACCTTCTCCTTAAAGACAATCACAATATGGAATGTTCTGGTGTCTAGTTCCCAGAAGACTGAGAGGAACCCCTGTGTTTGCCTGTCCTGCAACTTCTCTGTCCTTCCAGGGCCAGCGCCTCAGCTGTCCTTCAGAGAGCCATGCCTCGGCCATGGAGCGACCTGGCTTCAGGGAGGCGTGGACCGCGATCCAGGCCAGGTCAGCCAGAGCCCCTACCAAGCCTTTGCCATCACCGTTGTGGAAGACAAGTCCTCTCTCTCCTGGGGCCGCCAACCTGGAAGGCTGGCAGCCAGGGGCACTTTTCAGATGCTTAAACCAATCCTTCTCTTTTAACCCAAATTCTCTGAGTCACTTGCAACCGAAGGGAAGGCCTCAAGGAAAGACGCACTCACCAGGTGTCACATTGACAAGGGCCCTTCCCCTGGAGTAGCCCAGCATGCGGCAGAAGACAGTGGCATCTGAATGGTCCCAGTCGTCGTCACAAATTGTCCCCCAGATGCCGTTATAGTAAACTTCAGCCCGGCCTCGGCTGCTAGTGCCGATAATCCTGACGGACACCAGGGATTCACCTGGGTGAAAGACATACGTGGGAGAGGTGAGGAGAGCAGTCTAGGGCTTTGCATGGATGCGCGCTCTGCCTTTCCGTTCTTGGAAGTTCTGTCGTTAGGGAAGAGCCAGCCCCCCGCTTGGCCGTCACCAGAGCCGGGAAGATCCCACATACGGCACAGGTACGACCCGGCCGGCAGCCTCCATGCACCTGCAGCTGGCCTGGCCTGGCCTTGTGGGGAGAAGAAAAGGAAAAGTTGAGGGGGTAACGGGAGGGAGGGAGAGAAGGGAGGGGGAGACAAAGGGAAGGGGGGAAGAAGAGAGA